TAGGCCTCAAGTGGTGACAGCCCTCCTGCCCCAGCATCCCAAGTGCTTGGATTGTAGTGGTGACCCAGCTTCTCTATGTATTTTTTCAGGAAGGTGCCAAAAGACCATAGTTTGGAAATTTTATTTGGGGAATAGACAAATAAAATATTTTCAGGAGTGTATGCAGCCATGGAAGTCATGTTTCTTGGGAGTGTATGATGATTTAATATAGGTTTGAAGGCCAGGTAAAGAGGCACAACTCATGAGGACCTGAAGGATGAAAACAGAAGCAACACTAAGGAAATAAGAGTAGATATGGGTTAAAGAAGGAAGGAGAGATTGAAGAAGGGATACCCCAAAATTGGTAATTTATGCAGAAAATACTTTATTGTACATTTGTGGTGTATCCCTATAACCCCATTACTTGGGAAGTAGTAGAGGTGGGAAGAATCAGAATTCAAGGTCATCCTTAGCTACAAAGCAAATTCGAGGTCAGCCTAAGTTTTACCCTAAGTTCTAGACCAGCCTGAGCTGAAGAGTGAGACCCTGAAGCTAAAAAAGAAAGCAACTTTGTTGATCTTACAGTTTTGGCTTCCAAGAACTTGCCAGTACCCCGTTACTCTTAGAAATCCTTCTGGCGGCATCCTAGCACAGCAGATGGCCTCCTGATGGCGAGAGGAAGATCCTGACTGCCAGCCAGCATCGCTGTGTCACAAGAGCTACACCCCAGTCCGCCAGCCCCACCCCCGACTCACTACATAGGACCGGACTCACTGCATGCGAGCCTTTACAGGATGCTCAAAACACGCCCAGACCCCAGGGGCTGGTAGTTTGGGAGGCTGAGGTCACACATTTTACTTCCTGACTGGGCTGGAGTGAGTTCAAAGACAGCATGGAAAATTTAACAGGAGCTCTCAAAAGTGAAAATAGGAGCTTGAGAGACAGTTCAGCGCGCAAGAGCACATGCAGCCAAGGATGGCCTTGTCCTCTTGATCTTCCTGCCTCTGCCTCCGAAGGGCTAAGCCTATCTCCAGAGAGAAATAAAAATAAAACGAATGTAGGTAGTGCTTATTATGCAAAGTCATTGTGTAGTGGACAGATATATAAAGGAAATCATTCATACTTCCCTATCCAAGAAATAGAATCAGCCAGGCATAATGGCACGCACCTTTAATCCTAGCACTTGGGTGGCAGAGGCAGGCAGATCTCTGAATTCCAGGCTAGCCAGGGCTTCACAGTGAGACCTTATTTCAAAAATACAAAAAAAAAAAAAAAAGAAAGAAAAAAGAAAGAAAGAAAGAAAGGAAATAGAATGGAAGTCTAAGTTGCCACTTGTTTACATGTGTTGAAGAAAATTAAGGTATGTGAACATTATTGTCAGGGATATGCAGCCTAGTGGAAGGACGAACTGTCTTAGCACACTGAAAAGAAATCTGGTAACATCCGCCAAAATTTAAAGTATTTAACATTTGGATTCTTCGGTCTCATTGTTGAGCATCTCATAGAAAGGAAGCGACTATTTTATAAGTGGGCTGTAAACAAATGTACTGTTGTTTACTGTAGCAACAGATGAGAACAGAAAGTTTCTTCTGGGGCTGGAGAGGTGGCACTGGCTGCTCTTCCAAATGGACCCAGGTTCAAATCCCAGCAACCACGTGGCAGTTCACAACTGTCTGTAACTCCAGTTCCAGGGGATCTGACAGCCTTGCACAGATATGTATGAGGGCAAACACAAATGTAAATAAAGTAATTTTTTTAAAAAAATGTTTTTCTACTCAGGAAAAACTTAATAAATTACCATGTGAACCACAGATGGGACATATGCAGCATTTAAAAGAGTGGTTAGCACCATGGGAAATTAGGTTAAAGGGATTTCTATGAGATATTTGATCACAGGGGAGGAAAAAGGCCATTTTTTTTTTAACCCCAACAGCAACCCAAGAACAAAATAAGTGTATATATGCTAATATGGATATAACCATATAAGCAGGGAGGCGATTACAGGGATTATCTTCATGGTCCCAATGGTGAAATGACAGGGAGAATCAAATTAATAGGTGAAAAGAGACTGCAATGAAAAGCAAAACTATGTGTTGTGCTCCAGTTTGTGTAGAATGGTGCTGTATCTAGAAAGCCCGTCTGAAGTTGATCTGTAGACCTGTTCAGGAAAACTAACTAAAAACAGACAGAACCCGAACACCTCGCTCACAGTCATGCCTCTGCCGGAAGGTGATGTGGGCCAAGGATATGCCTTCTAGAAGTCTGCCTCCCAGAAAACGGCCAGAGTGAGAAGCGAGGAGACCGTTCCCCTTCTTAGTCTTCGGTGGACCAGCAAGAGGGAAACTGGGTTTTGGCTGCCTGGCTTGAAAAGTGAAATAATTTTTTCAACAATTGAGGATTTGTAGAGAATAAAGTTTAATCTGTTGTAACTTGACTCCGATTTGTGTTAGCATCCAGAAAGTTCTTTCTGCTCACCCTTGACTCTATTGTATTTTTTAGGGTCTCTTTTAAAAAAGACCAGTTGGAATGTAAGTGCTAGGACTGTAGAAACCTGGGGATGTGGCATGACTGCTCTGTGTGTCCTCACCTTCCCTCAGCACATGACGGCATCGTGATAAAGATCGAGGTGCAGACCAACGATGAGGGCTCAGAAGGTCTGGAGACACCAGAGCCGCTGATGGGACAAGTGGAGGAACATGGCTTTCAGGACTCAGAGCTGGGTGACCCCTGTGGAGAGCAGCCAGACCTGGACATGCAGGAACAAGAGAACGCGCTGGAGGAGTCCACGGAAGGCTCCAGTGAGTTCAGTGAGCTCAAGCAGATGCTGGTGCAGCAGAGAAACTGCACAGGTGAGTTCTGGCTGGGCGGGGCTGCTCAGGACACTGCCTCCTGGGATGTGGTCCTAATAAGCTCAGAATTTATTAGACTCTCCCAGCCTGGGAAAGAAGTTGTTCTGCTCAAGATTGGTACAAACAGGAACCCAATCCTGGCATGGTGGCGCACACCTGTAATCTGAGAGCTCGGGGAGGCAGAAGCAGGTGGATCTCTGTGAGTTCGAGGCCAACCTGGTCTACAAAGTGGGACTAAGAGAGCCAAGGGTACACAGAGAAGCCCTGTCTCCAAAAAAACCCTCCAAGGCAGATGAGGCCAGAAGCATGCCCACGGTCTTCTGAAACTTTCTTCTCCTCTCCACCTTCTCATTCACACCACTGTGATTCAGGAATTTGGTAGTTTGCTTTTGCTTTGTTTTGTTTGGGTGGTGTCTGTTTTGAGACAAGCGTCTCACCAAGTAGCCCAAGAAAGCCTTCAGGGTGCTGGGAATGAAAGTGTGTGCCAACACCCTGCAAGGAAAGCATGTTCTAAACCGCTCTGGGCAGTCCTTACGAGCTGCTTAGGTCTGCTGGCTCTGCCTGCCATTCTGAGTCCCGGCCTAGAAGGGCTTAATTCTGCCCTTTCACCTTCCCGTCTGTCTCCCCACTCCACCATCCATGCTGGCCCGAGTGCGCTTCCTCCAGCTCACTCTCTAATGTGTGCCAGCCTAACGCAAGAGCACAGCCTTTCCTCCCAGCTGGCCTAGACAGACAGCCTGCCTTGGGGTCTTCTTGTAACTCAGAACAAAACCCTCCTTCTTTGGTCTGGCCACGGTGCTTGCTAGCTACAGCCTCCCGTGTCTTCATTCTGCGCCTCGTGAGTACGGCGGTGCAGCAGCGGACATTCGTGCTGACCCTGGAGCACCCTCACGACAGTTGTTCTGTGCTCCAGTTTTCCCTCCTTGGTTGGATGTTTGTGGTTTGTTTATTTTTGAGACCGAGGGTTTCCTGTTGTAACTTAGATTGGCCCTATTCCTGATCCGCCTGCTTCAGCCTCCCAAGTGCTAGGAGTACAAGCATGTACCCCCCCCAACACCTGATAATCCTTGGTGTATTTTTTTTTCTCTTTTTGATTTGTCAAAACAGGGCTTCTCTGTGTAGCCCCGGCTGTCCTGGAACTTACTCTGTAGACCAGATTGGCCTCGAACTCAGAAATCGGCCTGCCTCTGCCTCCCCAAAGCTGGGAGGCACCACCACCGCCTAGCTGTGTAACTGGTATATTTTCAATTAATAAGAATCTCTTGGCAACCTTGGTCCCATGATCCAGATCTAATTCCTTACATTTACATAAGTGCACAGAGGCCAGGTATGATGGCTCGCTTATCACACATATGTTGCCTGCTTAACACAGCAGCTTACAGGCTTTAGAGCGGTGGTTCTTAAGTTTCCTAATGCTGTGACCCTTTAATATAGTTGTATTAATCATGTTGTGGTTAACCCGACCACAAAATTAATTTTGTTGCTACTTCATAACCGCATTTTTGCCGCTGCTATGAATCCTAATGTGAATATCTGTATTTTCTGATGATCTTAGGCGACTGCTATGAAAGGATGGTTCAACCCCCAGAGTCACATGTTGAGAACTGCTGCTTTAGAAGCTCTATAGTATGTGTGGCTGAGGAGCCACCAAAAAATTGAACAAGGCCAGGTATGGTGGTACAAGCCCATAAGCCCAGCACTCAGGAGGCAGAGGCAAGCGGCTCTCTTAGTTCAAGGCCAGCCAGCCTAGTCTACATAGGACAACCAGAGCTGCAAAGAAACCCTGTCTCAAAACACCAAACAAAATAACTGAACAAGACCCCGGTCAAGGCACAGACAGTGCTAGCTTCAGTTTGCCTGTCAAGGTAATTAAACCAGATGGCCTGTGACCTGTAAAGACTTGGATACATTTCATTTCTGGTCTTGGACCCCCCTGGCTGTGAAATGAAAGCCAAATTTGCTTGATTTGGTCCTCTTCTAAGTGCTATGCTCAGGTAAAGAGGACAGGTTTAAATGCCCTAGAAATGATTTTGCTAGAATTCAAAACATGGTATGGAGACATGGCTAGTGGGTAGGAGCACGTACTATTCCAGTAGAAGAGAGAATTTAGTGCCTGGCACCCATGTTAGCAGCTCAGCACTGCCTGCAACTTCAGCTCCAGGGGATCTGACACCTCTGGCCACCGTGGGTTCCTGCATCCGCGCATACATACCCAGACAGATACACAATTGAAAGATAATTTTTTTAAAAATCTTGTACAATAAATGGTCAGTCCTGAAAACATACATACAAGCAATATTGTACAGACTGAGTAGGTTATATTTAGGAATACACACACACACACACATAAGCACAACTAAAAAGGAATCCATGAGCTTGAAAGAGATCAAGGAAAGGTGTATAGGAGGGTTTAGAGGGGGGAAAGGGAAGAGAGGAATGTTATAAACCTATAGATAGATAGATAGATAGATAGATAGATAGATAGATAGATAGATAGATAAATGGGCATGATAGCCCACCTTTAATCCCAGCACTAAGGAGGCAGAGACAGGTGGAACTCTGAGTTCAAGGCCAGCCAGGGCTACATAGAGAGCTCCTGTCTCAAAAACAAACACAAACTCTGCAGTTAACACTGGTTAGGGCTGTCAGGTGACTGACTACAAAGCACTGGAGAAATTCAAATGCGTCAGATGTTGCTTCGGTTCTCAGGGGCCCCTGCAGAAGCCTTAGTTATTTAGGTCCCACAGGGACAAGCCAGGCCCGGGAGCGGCAGGAGGCCACCCGTTAGGCACGCATGGCACTGTACTCTGGAGCCCGAAGGGAGCCTCCAGGCTGGTGTTTTAAAGCACCTTGGTTCTGGCTGCACAGCGAGACGTGCATCTGCAGAAAACAGAACCAGAGCCTGCAGTCCCACCAAAGGAAAGCTCAGTTGGCCTGGATCACAAAGGAAGACAGACTGAGGAGGGAGGAATTGATGGAGGTGGGTGAACAAAGGCACGCTGAGAAAACCCCAGGTGGATTCAGGAAAGAAGAGTGTAGAGGGGGAAGATGAAGAGCGCTGTGAGTCAGCAGTGCCCATCACAGCCCAGACACTCGGCCCCCAGGGCTCCGCGTGGGAAGCGGAACTTCACTGACTCACAACCTTGAGTCCAGGAGACTAGCACGCTCAGCCAGGGTCCACATGACCACCAGCAAGCCGAGCAGCCATGTCCCCTGCTCCCTCCCCAGGATCCCTATTAATCTATGGGTTTCACGGCTGGTCGTCCGAAGGTAGGCATCATGGGACAGCACTACATTTTCCAAAAAGGAATTTGGGCGTGTGTTTGTATAGCGCGAGTATGTTGGTGAGGATGAAGCCAGGCTGTACTTATCTCTCATAACGGTTCTAGGCAGTAGCTAAACTTTTTCTTTCTAACCTTGGAGCAGAGGGGATCGTGATAAAGACCGAGGAGCAGGAGGAGGAGGAGGAAGAGGAAGAGGAGGACGAGCTGCCGCAGCACTTGCAGCCCCTTGGGCAGCTGTCCGGGAGGTATGAGGCCAGCATGTACCAGACCCCGTTGCCTGAGGAGATGTCCCCCGAGGGCGAGGACAGCCCCCCGCCCCTGCAGTTGGGCAACCCAGCAGTGAAGAGGCTGGCACCCAGCCTTCACGGCCACACGCATGGGCACGGTGAGCGGCACCTGGGTGAAAACCGCGGGACCTCCAGCCAGCAGCAGCGGAACCGGCGCGGCGAGCGGCCCTTCACTTGCATGGAGTGCGGCAAGAGCTTTCGGCTGAAGATTAACCTCATCATCCACCAGCGCAACCACATCAAGGAGGGGCCCTATGAGTGTGCGGAATGCGAGATCAGCTTCCGCCACAAGCAGCAACTCACGCTGCACCAGCGCATCCACCGGGTGCGCAGCGGCTACGCCTCCCCGGAGCGCGGGTCGGCCTTCAACCCCAAGCACTCGCTCAAGCCGCGCCCCAAGTCACCCAGCTCAGGCAGCGGCGGCGGCCCCAAGCCCTACAAGTGCCCCGAGTGTGACAGCAGCTTCAGCCACAAATCGAGCCTGACCAAGCACCAGATCACGCACACAGGCGAGAGGCCCTACACATGCCCGGAATGCAAGAAGAGCTTCCGCTTGCACATCAGCCTGGTGATCCACCAGCGCGTGCACGCGGGCAAGCACGAGGTCTCCTTCATTTGCAGCCTGTGCGGCAAGAGCTTTAGCCGCCCGTCGCACCTGCTGCGCCACCAGCGAACTCACACGGGCGAGCGGCCCTTCAAGTGCCCCGAGTGCGAGAAGAGCTTCAGCGAGAAGTCGAAGCTCACCAACCACTGCCGCGTGCACTCGCGCGAGCGGCCGCACGCCTGCCCCGAATGCGGCAAGAGCTTCATCCGCAAACACCACCTGCTGGAACACCGGCGCATCCACACGGGCGAGCGGCCCTACCACTGCGCCGAATGCGGCAAGCGCTTCACGCAGAAGCACCACCTGCTGGAGCACCAGCGGGCGCACACGGGCGAGCGGCCCTACCCTTGCACGCACTGCGCCAAGTGCTTCCGCTACAAACAGTCGCTCAAGTACCACCTGCGGACCCACACGGGCGAGTGAGCACGCGCCCCGCCCCTGCCCCCGGCCAGATGCGCAGCCAGGTGCAAGGGTCTAAGGCCCCTGGGACAGGTACCTCGGCTGCCCCAGGCTGAGCCCAGCGGGCGGGAGCGGGGCGCCCCAAGCCCTTCTGCTGTGACCCCTCCCCCCTCCCGTCCCTTCTCCCCAGGACGGGCTAGTGAGACCAGGTCGCTTGTTGCCTGCTTCCCCAGGGCCCCATGGGGGGAGCGCTTGGGCCTGGGGAACCCCTTCAGGCTGTTCATTTCCTTGACAATAAAATGGATGAAAGCAATCTGCACGGGGCAGTGATTTGGCTGCCAGCCACTCGCAGGCGCGATGCAGGGCCATTTAGTCGGGTAGAACTTTCTAATTACCTTTTGGATACTGTGGTTCTATTTGATAATAATAGAGTAATTTTTAAAAGACGAGCGTTTCCTGTTTGCCGTTCTTGTTTGGTTTGTAAGGGGAGGGGCTGAAGTGACCCAAGGGACACGTGCCCAGTATCAGCTGACAGACAGAACCGAGTTCCTCTCCCAAAGCCATTGTCTGCCGGGTAGAGGAGGAGAAACGTGTCACTGACCAACTTCAAGGAGAGAAGTGTAGGGGAGGGTGAACGCGCCTGGCCGCCAGCCTTCCTGCACCAAAGCCCAGCCTCGTGGTAGGCTGCCCTTCATGCCTTGACGGCCGTATTGAGTCACAGCATCCTAGAGAATAAAAATACCAAGTGGGTGACACGACAGCTAGGCTGGACATGGGCTGATTAGACCCATTACCGTCGAGATGTCTTATTAAGGGGAACGAGTGGGCGATAACGCCTTTAATGGCCTGAAGTAAAAACCAGATGTCTGGTAAAGTTTCAGGTTAGCCACCCCCACGTTTTATGGGCCCGGAGCAAGAAGAGGGGCTTTGGTGGGCGGGTTGTTGGTTTCACAGAGGATGGTGGATGAACGGACCAAATGTGGTAGGGGTAGTCGTATGGAAAAGCAGGGTGTCACTTGATGGGGTATGGGCGATTTACAATTATATTTGTGAATCATTAATTATTGGTTTAGATAGACACGTTGGTAATATTTTCTTAGTGAGATAATGGTTTTAATTCGTATTTCATTGACTTATAATACTTGCTTATATGCTGGACTGTGTGGGATCTCAGTAGGAAGTAGGTCCCAGTTGACCAGAACGACCAGGGAAAAAGTTGACGGTCAGGTTTAGAATGACATGAAAAGATGGTCAAAAGCTGGGGGCTTCCCTCAAGGCTCCTCCTTTCCTTTCAGAGGAATGAAGCGGAGTGGTGGGGCCTCTGGTGCGGTCTTGGGAGCAGCCACAAATAACACCTCCGGGACTCTCTCCTCCCCTTCCTCCTCCTCCTCCTCCCCTTCCTCCTCCTCCTCCTCCCCTTCCTCCTCCCTCTTTATTTTTAATTATTCGGGGGATGGAATGTATTCGAGTGCAGGAGTGCACAAAGGACAGGCCCTCCAGAGCCCCTGGAGCTCTGAGTGCTGAGAGATAAACTCCATTACTCTTGCAAGATGGTAACCAAAGAGCTCTTAACCACAGCCATCTCTGCAGCCCCAGGACATTTTCCTCTCTGAAGTTGTTGAAGGGGTGTGTTGGATGCAGTTCCAATGATCTGTGCGTTCCCTGTCACCTTTGTGCTCTGTTTCCAAAAGGAACTGCATTCGTATTATTATATTGATCATGGTCTGTTTACTTTCGTATGTAAAAAAAAATAGATAAACTGAGGCACAAAAGATATAACTTTTCCATTTACATGCAGATTTCCAGAAGGAAGGTAGGAAAGCTACCCAAGCAAGGAGGTAGGCCAGTCCCTCCAACCAAGCAGAAATCTAGGGCAGGTACAGACCAGGAATGACCTCAGTGTGCAGCAAACACCAAGTGTGGCCCAGAGAGGGTAGACTGCTGTAGACCATGGCAGCCTGGCAGGAGTCTGGGGTGAAGGCTTCCCAGCAGATGGCAGAGCCTGAACTGGATCTGTTGAATGGGGACTTAGAGGTAGGGTGCTCTGAAGAAAAGGTGACAGGAAGGCTCCCAGGACACAGCCACTGAGACCATTGTGGGAAAAACACTAGATGCTGGCTTGACGTGGACCAGGGACTCGAAACAGATTTTTGGATCTAAGGCTTCAAGGCTGTGGAATTTGAACTAGACATTGTATAAGAATTGGTCACTTGAACAGGAGAGGGACATGATGTCAGTGGACAACACAGAGAAGATTGGATGAGGAGAAAAGCATGTCAGACATGTGGGAAAGCCAGCTGAGTTCCACGGAGAGAAGTCACAGGTGATGGACGTGGGTGAAGAGAATCATTTGTTTGAACGCCAGGGTTTTTGAAGCTCCAAAGAGAGGTTACGGTCTTTTGGAGGTGTGTGATAGTCACCTAAGGTCTTTGCTCATCTGGAGTGTTCAGACTCCAGTGAACCTGGAGGTTTTTCTTAGGAAACCTGGTTTGTGAGGGAATTCAAGCAAATCCTGTCCAGGCCTAGGACTTCTCACCTTAGTTAACATCCATTTCCTCCTCTGTGAAATCAAGGTCAAGGCCCATTGTCCTGAATCTTAAATAACAAAATAATAGCACAGACTTTGGTCCCTCCCACTAAGAACTCAGAGGGGCGTGGTGGGGCACGGCTTTAATCCCAGCACTCAGGAGGCGGAGGCAGGCTGATCTCTGAGTTTGAAGCCAGCCTGGTCTACAGAGTGAGTTCCAGGACAGTCAGGGCTACATAGTTAGTCACACAAAAGTTTACTGATTTCATGTTAATTTATGCAATGATGTTTTAACTTAGGAAAGCCAGGACATGGCAGGATGGCTTAGTAAAAAAGCAAAACTCAGCATGCTTGTTCTTATCGTTAACTCTGAGAAGGGAATTCTTTTTCTGAAAGGCGAGTCATTGCAGGTTTAGAGAAGCCACATCCTGAGGCAGAAAGGCCCATTAGGGAGTTGCTTGCAGAGGCAGAAGCAGAAAGTGATGGTAGAAAGAGGACATTTAAGTCCAAACAAGCAGCTGTATCATGCTCCTGTGGGGACAGTGATAGTCAAAACTGGCCTCTCAGCCCCATCAGGGTGAAACACACCTGTCTGAGTTTCTTTTTTTTTTTTTTTTTTTCTGTCTGAGTTTCTTGATGCTTCTCCTACCTGATTTCCCCGGATGTCTTTAATGTAATTAGAAAGACAGACATTCTTTCTTTCTTGTTTTGTTTTTTTGTTTGTTTGTTTTTTGAGACAGGGTGTCTCTGTGTAGTCTAGGCTGTCCTGAACTCGCTTTGTAGACCAGGCTGCTTCAAACTCACAAAGATCTGCCTGCCTCTGCCTTCCTGAGTTCTGGGGGTACAGGCATGTGCCACTGCACCCCACTGACTTTCAGATTTCTAATCTCCAGGAGTTGTTGGCCCTGTGAGAGTGGGTACTAAGAGTAACTGTCATATTCTGATGCCTCTAATCTTAATGACGGCCTGCTTGTGACTTCAGACTCTTAAGCTATGTGCCATTACATCCCCTTAAACTGTTTTCTTTATTTTTGTTGTACGGTTGATGTCTGTGCAGTGCGTGAGGGTGTAGATCACCTGGGACTGGAGCACTGAAAGCTGTCAGCCAGCACGTGGCCTCTGCAAATCCAGCCTGGGTCATCTAGAAATGTAGCCAGTGCTCATAACCACCGAGCTATCTCTCCAGCCCACATATACTTTATAGGTGAAGAATTTGAGGCCCAAAGTCACACAGAAGGAAATCAGGAAGCCAGGACCTTACTCTCATCTTCATCCATCTGGTCTCAAACTCATAGCAATTTTTTTTTTTAAGCTACGGTGTCACTATATGGCTCTAGATGATCTGGAAGTTGCTATGTAGACCAGAGTGGCCTAGTACTGATAGAGAGCCACTTGCCTTTGCCTCCCAAGTGCTGGGATTAAAGATTTGAACCCCATTCTTAAACCCAAAAACCCATGTTTGATCATAAAGTTATTTTCCTGGGATCTGGAGGTTGTTGGAAAGAGAAAAGCCAGTGTGTCTAGTAACTATTCCCTTTACCCCCAGATTTTTTTTTGTAATTGAAAATGAAATTTAAATGAAAGTGAAAAGACTCTGTTAAGATAATGGGCTGATGTGTTTACTAAGGATGCAAATGAACTTTAGAGATAGAGAAAACTCTAGCCAAGACAGCATGTCCTAGCCCGATACATTAAGTAGGCAACAGACAAGTTGTGTTCTTGATCATCCGAGAGGCCCTTGTGTAGAGGCAAGGGGAAGCTTTTGGAGCAGGACATGGGTCTGGTGCTTTTAAGGGTGCTTGGTCAGTTAGCCTCCCAGAATTTATTATGTACTGGGCTCCATGGGGAAACAAAAATGTAAGGAACAATTGCTGGCTAACAGTGCTTGGAAGCTGGGGGCGATTTCAGGCTTCATTCTCTAAAACTGAACCTTTGGGATCTGGAGAAGCATAGGCCTTCAGGAAGAACTTTTTGCCCATGTATCCTATCGCTGGCAAAAAAAAAAAAAAAAAAAAAAGGCCCACCTTCAATTTTCCCTCCTCTAACCTTCCTCAGAGAGGTTTCTCAACAGCCAGGTGCCTGGGGGAGACCTGTCCTGAGGCACTGTGATTAAGGGATCAAGGACTGAGGCCCTGCAGGCCCTCCTGTTGCCAGGGCAACGCTGAGTCAGGCCCAGGCCTCTGTATCAGCCTTCCAGGAAGTGATTTGGCTGTAGAAAAGTCTTATTTCTCATAGAGGGAAACCTTTAAATTAAAATTCCTTCAAAACCGATTTTGAATTGATCACTTCTAGTTGGGTTCCTTGAAATGTGTATTTGTAGTAAACACAAACAATTTAAATGAACTCTTCCCTATTTCTGACAAAGAATAGAGAGCTGCAGACTAACAGAATTAAAAAATAAAGAAAAGGTGTAGCTGGCATTCGCCCCTTTGTGGGTTCCTTTCTCTCTTCTACTCATCTCCGCCCCTTTACATCTTCCCTTTCAACCCCCTAACCCTAGATAGGAGGAGAAAGGGGACAGCATTATCCTTAGACCACTTCCTGCTTGTTAGGGGCTTTGAGTTTCTTGGGGCAAGTCTGATCTTCACCAGCAGGATATCTAATTTATTCTTCTCATTTATTTGTGGTGACTACTTGACAAACGGCTACCAACAAAACAAACAGCCGCAAACCACCAACCAGCCACCAGCAGCAACAACCCACCTACCAGGGCTCCAGCATTTATATATCCTCTGATAAGTTCCCAGAATTCCATACACTCACAGAAACTATCCTAGCTGGCAAAA